AATATATATAAAAAAACAAAACACCTTTTGAACAACTATTGAATTAATGATACAATCAAACTGGTTATTAGTACGGAAATTTGTTCTGTTGAATTTGATTATTTAAATACTTTCCGATAAAAAAGAAAGAAAATAATTTGATTATTTAAATTACACAACTGATTATTTATATACATTTGTGTATATATATAAGGTATATCAATATATAATTTTAGATAGAGACAAGTTCCAAAAACATCTCTAAAGTATTCTTTGTGCAGTACATTTATCCCTATTTGAAAAAGTGTGTAAAAAATACCCATAATCTTTTCACACTGTGCAAAAATACGCTCCTGACATAAATTAGTGATGCAATACTCGTTTTGTCTTTTTACTCTTCCGAAAATGCCCAAGGGGGTATATATATGTTACTAATCTCATAATATCGGGGTGTTATGTGTATATGATTTTTTTTAATTTTTATTTTTTTTCTATGTATATCTCTAAACATTTTTTTTTTTTTTTTTTTTTTTTTTTAAACTTTGAGAATTTGTAGATCAATGATTTGAATTTTTTGAGATTTCAGTTTACTATTTTCTACTAATTTTTTTTTTCTTTTTCTATTTATTTATTGTACCAACACTGTTTTAAATAATAAAAAAATCCCAATATTTGCATACACTGGTTTTCAAAGTTTGGAGCAGATTTTTTTTTTTTTTTTTTAGTTTGCACTTTATTTTTGTTTTTTATTTTCTATTTTTATATTTACTTTTCTTTTATATTTATATTTTTTATTTTTATCTTTACTTGTTCATTCCCAGCGTCCTCCAATATTGTCCTTTTCTGTCATTTTATAAAATTATTTATTTTTATAAAATGGTTCAATAGGGTGATGTAATTAATTTAGGGTTTAAATTTGTCAGAGGGGTCTATTTGTACCAAATTGAAACTTTAGGGGTTTTTTCCACGTGAGGGGAGTCCTCCAATAGTGTCATTTTCGGTCATTTAACAAAATTATTTATTTTTATATATTTTATAAAATGGTTCAGTAAGGGTAATTTAGTTAATTTAGTGTTTAAATTTTTTAAAACAATCTATTTGTATCAAATTGAAATTTTAAGAGTATTTTTTGCAAGTGAAAAGTGTTATATGCACCGTGAACAGAATTTTCTACACTTGTAATATAGGTTGACCCTTTTAGATATTGTATCAACAGAATTTCACTGAAGAACACTTTCTAATATAGGTTGAAGTTTGGCATATGTAAGCCATGACGGCATGATTTGGATCTAAAAAAACCATCCCAATTGTCAGCATTATAAAAAAAACTCTGAATTTATAGATGTAATAATGATGTAAGATTAATAAAACCATTATTTTAGTAGGATTTTAGGATAATGGAGATCGGATTTGAGGTTGAAAGTGGCTAAACTTGCACCTTTGAGTGAAATAAATACTGCGATTTAGGTCTATTTTTAACAAAATTGTCACACAATAAATAAATAACTTAGTAAATTAACAAAGTTCAAAGTGACATTTCTTTCGCCTTCAAGTTTATTGTTATAAGAAAATCTTATTCCACATCCGATCCGGATGAGAAATGAAATAGGTATATATAGATTAGATATTAGCACCATTTACCTTTCTAATGTCTATGGGAATAAGGGAGGTTTTGTTGAATGTTCCATTCAACCTAAATATATTTTAAAAATATATATATATATATTTTGTATTTTTTGGTATTTGTTTGTTGTAAAATATTTACGGACAAAAAAAAAATTAGAAGCTAACAAAAATAATTTATTTATTAATTTTCGGTAAGCTATTTTATACACCCCACCCGATGGACTAGATCTAAACTTTTGTACCAAAACATAAAAAATATATATATAATAAAAAAATAAAAATAAAAAATAAAAATTACTTGAAAAAATAAAATATTTTATGTCAAAATAAACGGAATGTTCAACGAATATGAAAAAAAGAAAAAGTCAATAGATTTCTAAGAACTTAATGCCGTGAGGGAAAAAAACAAACATGAGCACATGTGCCTCACTAAATAGAAGTAAAGTTAATTGCATGAGTTTTGCATGCATTAATAATTACAAATGTGGAATCTAATGTTTTTTTTCTTTTTCTCAAGGGTAATCACGAAGAGTGCAATACCATATCTATCCCACCCACCTCCTATGTGGGATGATGATGAGAGGGAAAATTTAAAAAGAGAAATGATAAATATCATGAAAATTATTTTTATGATATATTATCGTGAATGAATTTAATTAGGTTTTTTTTTTTTTTTTTTCCAAGGTAGGGATTCAGTTAGGGTTCATGTGCCCTAATTGAATGTTTTTCAATATTTTTAAATTTTTTATTTTTGGGAATGTGTGTTAGAGATAAAGCTAACTCAATGAAAAAGAAAAAGTGACACGGTGGATAGGGCCTACAAGAGCGGCGCAATAAATTCTGCTGACAAAAAACAAAAACGTTATGGTAATATTATTTCATGGTGCAGATCTTGAAATTTCTTTTGACGTATATTATTGCTCAATTAAAAATTTACATTACATTTATATTAATTAACTAGTAAAAAGATTTTTAGAATTTAATAAAATCATGAGAAATTTTAATTTTAAAGTTTAAACCATTAACATATGATTTGATGATAATCATTTATATAATTCTAAAGTTTATCAAATAATTAAAATAGTGAATGACAAATATAATATTTATCTCAATTATAAATAATTCTTAGAATATGATTCAATAGTTTATCAAATTTTATAAAATTAATCATAAAAACCTTCAAAATCTAATACAACTACAATGATTTGGATTAATATAACGTCAAACTCAGTGTTACTCTTCATTTGGTTGCTAGAAAATAAAAAAAAATAAAAAAATTAAAAATTTTAAAAAATAAAGAGAGAGTTCACGATGATTGTTGATACATGGCATAGAGAAAAAATGTAAAAATACATTAAAAAAAGTAAATAAATAAATAAATAAAAGCACTAATGTATATCAAGTATGGGTGGCAATTCATGTTCACGGGTCGTAATCGTATTGTATCGACTTAAGGGTATTATACTAAATAGCTCAATCCGAACACGACCCGTTTAATAATCGTGTCAAGAATTCTCAACACTAATATGACTTGTTTATTATACGAGTTATATGTGTAACCCGTTTAATGACCTATTTACTAAGATAAAATATTATATTATTTAAATTTTTAATAATACTCAATTAAACAATAAATACTAAAAAAATATAAGTTTCAATCTAATTAAATTAATAAATAATCTATAGTTTACAAAAGAATAAATTATAAGATATAGTTATTTTGGAATTTAAATATAAATTTATTTATGACACGTATAGTTAAACGGGTATAAACGGGGTTATACGGGTTGAACCCTTCTATCCAAACACGACACGATTAAATAAACGAGTTAATTGTGTCAACCCATTTACGATTCAAATTCATTTAAGGTTAATTCAAACCTACTTAACTCGTATCCTGTTAACTAATCGTGTCAAACTTTGTTACCCCTAATATTAAGGGAACAATTTTACAATTTACATGGCATTAATCCACGTCATCTTAAACATAGTCATGCAAAGAAATCAGAAAGCAAACATAGGGATTAGTCAATAAGTTTTACTTTTTGTTAGATTGACATTTACATGGTTATGATATATATATATATATATATTTTGAGGAACCGGTTATAAGTTGACACATTGCTATATTTTAAGAAATTTAATACAGACAGGAAAGATCCAAGATGATATTCAGACTTTGTATCTAGCAAATGTGAACCATGGAATGATGATGGCAACTACTTGTCAACTGTTGTAACTAAGTCAAGCTGTAATAAAAATAAAGAAAACTAAGTCAGGCAAATAAAAATCAATTAGATTGACATTGACATCCATTTTATAAAGCTATGACTAAAATATCTTCAAATAATATAAATTTTGTTTAATAAATGCCTTGTAAAATTAGAGCAATATTGAAATTTAGATATAAATAGAGGAAGCAATTGTTACCAACTATCATTTTCAAGCGAGCAATGTCTGCACATTATGCAAGAGTAGACTATTTAGCGTTTTATTAGTTTGATTTCCTTTAACCGGATGTGAAAAATTAATAATGTTCTTATATTATAATAATATCTTCTTTTTCTCAAAATAAATGACTACCTTTCCATATTTATTTGTTCCAAAATAATTGTTCTAATTCAAAAGTTAATGTAATATATTTTACAACATTTTCAATTTACTTTTTTTACATTGAACTTATAAAAATAATTAAATATAAAATATCATAATATCATTGTGGTTCCACTGTGGGTAAACTTGATAATTCACTCACTACTAATATAATAAAAAAAGATTAAAAATTACATCTTAAAAAGTTACTTTCTTTAAAAAGATACTGAAAATGGAACACATCACGCAACAAATCTTAAGGAGGTGAAAGTAATAATGTTGCACAGTTTATCCGGATGTAATTTGTATTAGCGTAATTTTCGCTTCTTATAAATGTACTCTACCTTTAATATGAAATGATATAACGATCTTTGATTCAATTTATGAAAATTAAGTTTTTTTTTTAGGTAAGAATTATTAAAAGTTAAATTAGTAAATGTATAGAGTAAAAATCAGGTACAAGGGACAATTTTTTATTTTTAGTATGAGGGACATTTAGTTTAATAAAATATAAAAAGAAGGATGCATTAAAAAAAAAAAAAGTGTATTTTATAATTTTTATTTTATACTTATTATATCAAAATTTAAGTGGGAAAATTCCTGGAAATAGGATAAGGTATAACAGTAACAGAAAAGTCAAGGAAGAAAGGGATAGAGTAGGATAACAACTGTCTCACTTTGTCCACACCATGCTGAGCTCAAAACCAGTTCAAGGGGTATTTGAGTAAATTCACAGCCCGGAGTGACGAACACGATGACAGAACAAGTCTCGCGGTCTCACACGTATGTCGTTTTCTATAGCATCACGATTCACCGTGTGCTGTTGGAAGAAGGCACTCTGCTTCTTCTCTGCGTCTTCTTGTCTGCTTCCTTTGTTTTTTTTTAAACCCTCTCTTCACTCCATCCACCGATTCCCTTCTCAAAAAAAAAAAAAAAAAAAAAAAAAAAAAAAACACCCAATTCTTTTTCTCTCTTCTTTGAAGTTTCTAACAAACCCAAAATCCAAAACAGAAGTACTAACTCGTTCACTCTCTTCATTGATTTGGGTTTTTAATATAGATTTTTGGTCTGACAAGAAAAGGGGTCTGTAGTAAATTGTCTCTCTCTCCTCAGTTTTCAAGTTGGGAGCTTTTTAATGGGGAATTGCTTACATTCTTCAGCCAGAGTTGATACTACTCGGAGCTCACACACCACATCTGGTAAGACTGGTAATATACACACACATCTGTGTTTCTCTTAAGTTTTATAATGTTTTATGCTATATGGATTTCAATGAATTTATGGCTCTGTTTTGTTGTCTCCATAAGCATATGGGTTTTGAAATTAGCCTTTTCTTTTTGCTACTTAATTGCTATCCCTTTGAGGGTCTGATTGGCTTTTGAAGTTCCAATTTTGATGGGCACAAATGAAATGTTTGACCTTTGGCTGGTAAAGCCATTTCCGGTGGATGTTCTGCCCGTTATATATGACTTTGCCACTGATTTTATCATCTGGGTTTCTCTTTTTAGGACTTTTAGGTATAAGTTGCATAGCAGAAATGGTGTTTTTATTTTTATTTAAATGATTTAAAAGCAAATCTTTATGTGGGTTTCTTTTTTGTTCCTTTGTTTTTTAGCTTTTTAAGTTTGGAGGTTTTTCTTATGCTGGTGGTGGAGGGGTTTCTTTGTTCTTGCGGCTGTGGACCCTTGTAAGGTTTCAGTTATTGGATCTGTGTATATCTCCATTATTGTTTAGTGTTTTGATTAGATGGCTAAACCTATTATCTGGTTCATTCTTCCATATTTTGGGATTACTTTACCCATGGATCTTCATAATTTGTGAATTATTTGATTAATTGGCATTGGTGAGTGTAGTGATATGAGGGTTTCTTTTATTTATTTAAAAGAGTGTAATTAAATGGGTTGCTTCAATATTTTGATTTTGCTCATCGCACCTGATGTGTTTCTTTGATTTGTAATGTGTATGTATGATTTCTTTTAGCTGAGCGGGGTTTATTACCTCTAACAGTGATGTTGTGCTCTGATTTGGGGACTCCTGAGAAGGATTCCTCCTTGGCCTAATAGTATTTGAAAATTCAAATGTGCACCTTAATCTGTGTCTCGGCATTGTTTTGGAGGATGCTTTCCGTTTTATGAGGTGAAGGGGTGTCTAGAACAATCTAATGAAGGCTTAACCTGTCTATAGAAGATAAACCAATAGTCTACTGCCCCAATTCAGTTAGAGAAGCATTAAAAATACTTTAAACTGAAATATATGAAAAGAAGCATACGGAGTTGGTCTTTTTGTTTAACTGAATATCATCAAAAATCATCAATATATTTATTTTTATATATATCAATATATCAAAAATCATCATGAAATATATATCATCAATATATATCAATATATCAAAAATCATCATGAAATATATGATTTTTGTTTAACTGAAAATCATCAATATTAAGTATAATTTAAATTTTATAAGTTTTGTTACAGTAAATAGAAAAAAAACTGTGCCTATTGTGAGAATATTAACTTTATTTATACACTCATTCAGGAAAAGAAAATAATAACTTTATTTTCTGACTTATATTTTGCAACTAGGAAGTCAGAACTTTTGGTAAGCTCCCGCCAGTTTTCTAAAGAAGGATCTTTGAAAGGTTGATATTAGTTGAGATGAAATATTTGAACTTGAAAGTCATGGATTATTTTAGATGCGGAGGGACAATAATGGGTTTTGGTAAACTATGAAAATTAGAAGGTTGTAGAATAGATATCTCAGAAAGTTTAAAATGAAAACATGCAATGGGCAAATTTAAACTCTAAGGAATTGCCAAGTATGAAAAATATGAAATCCTGGAAAAGTTGGTGAATCTTGTTTTGCATGTTACCATGAATGCTTGTCAGAACTTTCAAAATATATACGTGGGTACGTGTTTGAACAATATGATTCCAAAAAGAAACCACATTTGTTGACATTTGGACTTAAAAGTTGCATGGAAGATGGACAATTTGACATATTAGCAAAAGTTTTGCCAAAAACCATTGTTTTAGTAGAAGCTAATCCCTGTAGAGGCAAATTGGGGGCAGGTAAATAACTCCCACTACAATAAGTGAAGGCTGAGGGGAAAATGTGATTTTGCATGCAAGAATAAGGGAGATGCTCAATGTAGTATGTTTGATCTGTGGTCAAACTTAACGAGTGATGCTATGATCATAAAAATTCATGTTCAATAAGATCCTTGATTTGAAAAAACCTTTTTAGCAAGCCGGATCTAGTAGTATAAGATTCAAAACTCTGTATTTGAACGCTTCAGCTTTCTGTATGCTTCCCTTTAGAGTGGTCGAAAGAATCTAAGTAATGAGAACATGAGAATAATCCATATTCTTTTATAAATAAAACAGAACATAATTATGTTTTGAACTATCAGAAGTTTGTAATGTATATAATATATATTAGACACTTCGAAGAAAAGCACGGATAGGCCGTATAATCACTATTTGATTATTAATTCTGTATTTTATTTTTTCCGGTCAGCTTCAGGGGCCTCAAAAATTGCCAGCAGAATCAGCAATTCTTCAACTCCGTCCAGCCTGACAACATCTTACAGTGAGAGGAACAGTATTGAAAGTCTTCCAACTCCAAGATCTGAAGGCGAAATATTGTCATCCCCCAATGTGAAAGATTTCTCATTTATTGAGTTAAAGAATGCCACCAGAAACTTCCGCCCTGACAGTCTTCTTGGTGAAGGTGGATTTGGTTGTGTTTTTAAAGGATGGATTGACGAACATACTCTTACTGCTGCAAAACCTGGATTTGGTTTGGTCATTGCTGTCAAGAAGCTTAAACCTGAAGGTTACCAAGGCCACAAGGAGTGGTTGGTATGTTCTTCTTCCATCCTTATGAGTTGATAATTCTCACAATTTTTTACATTGTCCATTTACTGATGGTCAATTGTTTGCAGACAGAAGTTAATTATCTCGGCCAACTTCATCATCCAAATCTGGTTAAACTTATTGGGTACTGCTCTGATGGTGACGACCGTCTTTTGGTCTATGAGTTCATGGCCAAGGGGAGCTTGGAGAATCATCTGTTTAGAAGTAAGTTGTTCATTGATGAACTGTTGGCAAGAATAGTTGTACTTCAAATCTTCTTACAATGTTCATATTAATGTTTACTGAATGTCCTTTTCTATTCTTTAATGGTTCTTATCACTGTAGCTCGATGTTTTCTTTTCATTTGGTTCTTCTGGATTTGCCGTCTGACAAAATTATAAGAATTAAAACTATCTATCTGCTAGGGAAGATGGCAATGCTAAATCAGTAAAAAAAAAAAGGTAGGGATTGAATTAAACCTGCGATATGTCCAATATGGTGTAGTAATCATCCCTATCTGCAACCAAATTTGTGAAACAATGTCTTTATCTTTTCCCTTTCTGATATGAATGTTTGAATTACATTGCCAAGGCGTTGAAGCAAACTATTTTTGTTGTCTTTTATGGACTATTGGTGTCATATGTTGGGCCCCCAATAGGATTGAGTTGATTATATAAACTCATCTGCTTTGCTTGGCATCCTGTGGGGACTGCCTGGTGACTTGAAATGTGATTTTTAAGGGGAAGAAATCGTACGTGGATTTAAATTTAAATTGATTGCTTCTATCTGGTGTATTAAATCAGCCTCAAAATCTTTATGACTCTAAGTCTCTAACATACAGCGCTTATGTAAAACTGATGTGTTTATGGTCTCTTTCCATGAGCTAATTTCGGGGCCTAATGTTACTTTATACAAACTCAAATGTACTCAAATTCAGCATTTATGGGTATGACTTAAAGAAACATTTTGTTGATGTTCAACCTGATAACTTGTTTTGCAGGAGGGCCCCAGCCACTTTCTTGGGCAACAAGGATTCAAGTGGCCACTGGTGCTGCTAGAGGTCTCTGTTTTTTGCATGATGCTAAAGACCAAGTTATATATCGTGATTTCAAAGCTTCCAATATCCTACTAGACGCGGTACGCTGAATGAAAAGAATTGCTTTGTCTTTTATTAATTTTATTATATATCTGGCTTTAATGTTGCTTTGTGGATGCAGAACTTCAATTCCAAACTATCGGATTTTGGTTTGGCCAAGGCAGGGCCCACCGGTGATAGAACTCACGTGTCCACTCAAGTAATGGGTACCCATGGCTATGCAGCTCCAGAATATGTTGCTACAGGTCCACCATTGCCCATTTTATTGTACTATTGTTACTCATTTATTCTGAATAATCTTAATTAAAAAAAACTTGTCATGGTAAACACTTCACTGTACTAAAGCTCTTGCTGATGAACAGGTCGATTGACAGCAAAAAGTGATGTGTATAGCTTCGGGGTTGTTCTGCTGGAACTATTGTCTGGACGTCGTGCTGTTGATAAATCGAGGGTTGGTGTGGAACAGAATCTTGTGGATTGGGCAAAACCATATTTGGGCGACAAAAGAAAATTATTCCGGATTATGGATACCAAGTTGGAGGGCCAATACCCTCAGAAAGGAGCCTATGCAGCTGCTACCCTTGCCTTACAATGTCTAAGCCGTGAGCCTAAAGCCAGGCCACGAATGGCAGAGGTTTTAGAAACACTAGAGCAGCTCCAACCACCAAAAAATTCAACCAAACATGAGCAGCTCCAAACACCAAAAAAAACTGATCCTGTCCGTAACTCGCCATTGAGACAGTTCCAATCACCTAGAAATCTGACACCCTCTGCATCCCCATTGCCAACCCATCGGCGGTCTTCACGTGTACGTGTATGATGAGTTGGTTAACTGATCATTATGTCAGGCATGCTAGTGTAAATTCTTTTGCTTCTATTTTTTGCTGCTCCTATATATATATATTTTTTTATGGGAATGTATTTTGAAAATTTTGCATTATGCAGAACATATCATTATCGCCTGTATTTTATATATGTATCAGGAATTCAGGATAGCTTTTTTCCTTGTTGGGTGATGCAAATGATTTGTTTGCTTCAATTTCTTCTGCACTTGTATCTGTTTGTTTGTTTCAGTTTTTTCTGTATCCCTATGATTGTGTATATATATATATACATACACACACATATTTGGTTACATGAATACTTTACTGTGCAAACCTGTGAATGCTTTGTTAAGATAGACATTTATGTAACAGTCACTAGCATAAAAAAAAGCTGTAGGTGAGTTAACACATCTTCACTTAGCTCCAGAGCTCATTATTCTAATGTTAATCCCCAATGCCTGAGCTTAGTTCTTACTTGGTTGTATTGAGAAACTATGACAATAAAATAAAGTCTAGATGTGACAAACATGTTTTAGATTATGCCATTCTTTTGCCTTAGATGAAACTTTGGTGAACACTAATTTCTAATGTCAAACACATGGAGTCTATATCATCTAACCAACTTGGAGACGACACCATTCTGAATTTTGGTTCATTTCAAAATGGTAGGTTTTTTAATGGTACAAGAACATTTACACTATACAAGCAGTATGAACTGTAAGTTTTGAAGTAGTTGTAAATGTAGAATAACATAATTAACAGAACTAGCTTTACAGTACATCATGTACTTCTGTTGTGAACAGACATTTTCTTTCTTTCTTTCTTTCTTTTTTCTTTTTGCGGGTATAGGGTAGCGATTCTTACTTTCTTGGTGAACTTTGATGGGAGCTTTATATCTTTTGCTCTAGTTTTTCAAGAGCAAGAACCACTTCAGTCATTGTTGGCCGGCATTGGGGGTCCAAACAAAGGCATTGCAGGATGATTTGAGCAAACTCGCAAGCTTCTTTGATTCTTTGGTTCCTTCCGAGTCTCTTGTCGATTACACGACAAACTCCTTCCTTATTGTCAAGCAGTGGTATAGCAAACTTGGCAAGATCCCCCGTCTTCCCATTCGAATACCTCTTTACCGCGCCAGAACCAGAGAGGATCTCCAGGAGGACTACCCCAAAGCTGTATACGTCTGTTTTTAGCGTTAACCGCCCTGTCATATTAGATGTTTTTAGCCCATGTATAGCCATAGCTAGAATGTCTCACTTTGTTCTGTATAGATGTAAAGAATGTAAAGATGTAGACATTATTTGATTACCTGTTCCAACATACTCAGGAGCAAAGTAGCCTTGGGTGCCGAGTATTCTGGTCACTATAGGAGTGTCGCTGCCTTGGGAACCAAACTTAGCTAGACCGAAGTCAGAAAGTTTGGCATTGAAGGCCTGCAATATCACTTTCGCGGTTGGTATTTATAGAAGAATGAATACCTTGTTTGTATGAAGATGTTGTAGAATGAAATCATTGCGTCTTAGGTAACATTTTGAGGGCGTGTAGATGAGTATCGATGAATTAAAACTTACATTGTCGAGCAGAATGTTGGAGGACTTGATATCGCGATGAATGACTGGTTTAGCAGATGTGTGGAGATATTCTAAACCCCTGGCTGATCCAAGAGCTATTTTGATTCTCCTGCTCCAATTCAGCTCTCCATTGCCTGCTTATGTCAAAACAACGACAATTGTTCACTATGGTTTCTGTTAGTGCATTACTGTGGCTAAATTTGGGCAAGAAATTAGATTCGGTATGTGCGTACCTTTTGATAGATGGCGTTCTAAGCTTTTCTTGGTCATATACTCATACACTATAATCCTATGTTTATCCTCACAACAAAAGCCCAAGAGCTTCACCACATTTGGGTGGTTCAATCTGCTCAGAACATTCAATTCATTCTGCAGGCAGAACCCTATAATAAAGACTATTGTTGCAAAAACCTAGTAGAAAAATTACGTCAAACACAAATTTTATGTGGTTCACCCAAATAATCAGGGTTACGTGTACGCCTTCACGGATTGCAGTGATTTCACTTATAACAGATAATGATAAGAGAGTTGATAATTAATAGGGTGAATTTCACTTACCTCCTTTGAAGTTTGTCAATATCCCACATAGAATCTCTCTACGTTTCATAATCCCACTTACCTCTCCTATCAGTGACAGTTGTCCAATTTGGTAATGGTAATGTGTTATTTTACTTTCTTGCCCATAAATTGTATAAGGTAAATGATGTCATTTCAGGCATTAGAAGGGCAAAATTGACCTTCTATCTATTTTCATAATCCTACTTACTTCTCTCGAGGTTTGTCTCCTTCAGGTGCCCTAATTAAAGGAGGGAATTTATTACATAAACCACAACCTCAGGAGAAGTAAATGAGATTATGAAACATCAAAAGTGTTTATGTAGGATATTACAAATCTCGGGGAGGTGAGTGAGATTTATTGAATGAATAAATACTATGGCTCTCCCACTGGAATTACACGTGTGGAATATAATTAAATACTTATCCAAAAATTCGGACTAAGGTGTACAATATTTAATCTATGAGACTTCACACTTTCCATCAACTATGTTTTGATTGCGCGCGCGCAGAGAGGGAGGGAGAGAGAGAGAGTACCAGCCAGTCATCACAGCCTTGAGATCCTTCATTTCTGAGCTTCTTGACGGCAATTGGAGTGCCAGTACCAGGTTTTGCAGCATTCATGGTGCACTTATCAATCCAACCTTTATAAACATCACCAAAACCACCTTGACCTATTATATTCTTTTCACAAAATTTTTGGGTGGCAATCTTCAACACACAGTAGCAAAAGTGGTTGAGTTTGTAAGAACAAAGCACATCCTCTTGCTTTCTCCCATTTGAGACATTATATATATCATCTCTCTCTTCTTGCCTAAGCTTCTCTGCATCAAATAACACACAAAGATCAACACACAGTTGAAAAGAATGTATAAGAAAACATATACCTTTCTGTGCATTTGAAAGAACATCTTGAAGTGGATTAGAAGTTCTTCTCGGAAGAGAATTTTGGTACTCTGTGACTGCTATACACAAGAGCAAACATGTAAATACAATTTAATATACGAAAAGAATGGAAACGGAGGAATTCATGTGGCCGGCCCTATTGGTTTGGGATTAAGGCATATGTGATGACGAAACCATGAAACGTCGTCAACACTTGCATGAAAATTGAATGTAGATTTTCATGTACGTGTTCCACTGTAATTGTAGACAATACTAACCTATATGTGTATTTGAAGAAACATGTGAATTCTTCTCTTGCAGTGGTTTAAGTTTCTTCCCAGAATAAAAAAATACAGCTTCATTGACTCCTGTGAGAACAGACATAAAAAAGGTTGTTTACCCAAAAAAAAAAAAAAAAAAAAATCACAGATATATTTTTTTGTTAGGAAATACTTACCTTTATGTGAAGAGAGAGAGGAAGTTATCTCATGGAGTGGTTTAGAAGTTTTCCAGCCACGAGAAATATGGGGATCATTGACTCCTTCAATCAAATGAAACAGCTAGAGTTGAAAACAATATATATATATTTAGATATATATATATATATTTCAAATATATTTCTTCCAACATCTTTTTGAAAACCAAGAAACACAGGGTTTGTTGAAAAAAAAAAAGAAAAAAAGGAAAGAAAAGAGAAACTGTATTCAAGAAAACACATACCTTTCGGTGTATTCGAGGATATGGTTACTATCCTCCTCCTAAAAAGCTTAGAATTTGTTGGTGGATGAGAAATCTTGATTTCATTTTTTCCTTCCAAACAATTACAAGTTAATTTCAGAAATGGGTTTTTCACGTCACGTCTATATCTATGAAAATTCTTTTTTTTTTTTTTTTTGAAAAAGAATTAGAAGATCAATAACCAAAAATGAAGAAAGCAAACCAGTGGAAGGTTTAGCAATGGCAACTGATTGGTTGGGATCTTTACGCTTCTTCCTGAAACAGCAATTCGCCATCAATGGAAGTGGTTAAAAACTCATGAGAGAAGAGATCAATGAACAATATTAGTTTTTAGAAAGATTATTAAAGGAGATAGGTGGTGAAGTTGACTAGATAAATTTTTTTTAGTGAGTTTCAAAGTAGTTTTTGACGATTACTTCTAAGTTTGTGGCTTGCAAGGATGTTTCATATACATATAGTTTAATATATGTACAAGGTTCATGATTATTTATTTAACAAATTAATTGAAAAAGATTGAATCTAATAGGGATCCCACGATCACAATCATCCAATGATATTTGTAAGAAACTAGGATGAAAGAGGAGAGAAGTGGTTATTGGATCATATTGTTGTCATATCCAAATTATTGTTATTGGATTCGTTTATTTATTGATTTTGTGTTTTTTAGGGGGAAAAAAAAATGCTACTACTATAAACATGTGGTAAACAGAGGTGTCAGTGCTCAAACCCAGATTCCTTCCTATGTGTCTTCTGCGCCACTAATCTTGTATGTTCATTCTGTATAAGTAGTGCAACATGCTACAAGCTTACAACATAATGCAAACATGTTTGGGAGCACCGAATTTGTGATTTGAATTTAAAATTTTGAATAATATTTCTTCTATTTTCAAATCTTAGACTTTGATTTGGTACTTCCAAACACAACGTCAAATACATTTCGTTAAGTTTACATATTTGAAAGATGTAAGTATCGATTAAGTGGCAAGTTGAAAGTCAAAATAAGCTCACACAGCACTGGATCATAGCACACGTAGACATACATACCTCTTTGAAAAGTCAACAAAACAAATCAAAACTTTGGCACAGGTCAAAGATGCAAACTTCGAGCCCTAATAAAACCTTGTTGTATTAAACAGATCATCAAACCGCGACGATACAATTCTGAGTACAAACAAAACCCTAGCAACATGCTAGGTAACCAAATCTCGATGTACAATCTTGATTATAAGCAAAATCCCTAACAATCTGACAAGTCATCAAACCTCGATGATAGAAGTCACACATAAAACCCTAGCATTGGCAAGGTCATCAAATCTTGAAGACATAATTCTCGAGAACAGATAAAGCCCTAGTAACATAGCTAGGTCACCAAGGGCTCTCCAGTTTGAAAAGTTAAAAAGTATCAAATGAGATGAAGGCCGGTAAGTTTATCTCTAGTACTCATAATTTCCAGAGATATTAGAAGGATTTTGATTGAAGGATGTGAAGGCAGAACATGCCTAGACTTGAGTGTAGGCCTAACCAAAGGGATGGTGAATCACGTGCCTGAACAACCCTTACAATCACATTTAATACACTGGTGAAAACCATTAATGTTTACATAACGCTTAATACATTTAATGCTTGTATCAAAATAAATATGACTTGCCAAACTAGAGGCATAGTTTAAGGAAGGATTGGACCCCGTAGGTATGTAAAGCCCCAAATCCCATGATCCGGTGCATTAACTAAAAAACTCAAATCCGACCCGTAGACTCAGGCCACAAATGCGGAAGCTAAAAGCCACAATAGTCTACATGGATAATGTGTCAAAATAAGTCAATTAATATCATAATAATCATTTAAGAACATCCTATGTGGTCCCAAATATTAAAGGGATGTTTTCGTCACAAAAATGCATCCTCAGTTTATGAGATTACATGAATATGTCTCACTAAAACGGGTATAACTCACTATTTGGTTGGAATGTTTGTGTGAGATTGGTATCATTGGAAAGCTAATTTAGAGACAGCCAGTTTGAGCACAAATTTGACCCTATTTGGATAAAAAAATGTGGGATATATATGTTTGTTTAAAGATGGAAAAGCAATGTTAATGCAACCAGGGAGTTTTAGTCGGCTGAGTCTCAAGTTTCAGCACCATTGTTGGAGTGCTTAATGCATTTAATGTTCGTATCAAAATTAACATGCCATGCAAACTAGAGGCATAGTTTAAGGAAGGATTGAACCCCGTAGGTATGTACACCCATCATGACTTAGTAAAGGAGGTCTCGAAAAAAAAAAACCAGCCCCTCGAGGACTAGCTGGTAATACCCTATAGGACTATAAACACCATTATTTGAGCAAGCATTAAAGGCAACATAATTAAACCTTATACGTACGCATATAGACAAATATTCCTACCTTCATTAGAAAGTTTCTTTGGCTAGTATACTTCTTTTCTTTCATCCAGAGCCCCTCTCTGGATCTCTTACATTTGTGTTTTGGTATCTTTATTATTTTGCTGAATTTATTGTGCATTTATTACTCCATTTGGGAACTTCGATATATATGTCATTCTCTAGACATGCAAATGTGTAGCTCACAATGTTCAGGTCTAGGGTTATTACACTTAATTAGCCCGCTTGGTCAAATGATTTACACTTATTGATCTGTATTAATTAGTTTCAATAACCAAATGCAAGATGTTTATCTTCAACAATGTTTTACAAAAGATAATCAAATAAGTACATAATAGACTAGTCACATAATTAGTCACTAGGAGGGTCTAATATGGACCATAATACATAAAAGTATAAAACTGGTTCATATTCATGAATATAACTACGAGGGGTTGAAGAGGCTTTCCACAAAGGTGTAGTGAGAGAGTTGCGTATGATGTATTTGAAGGAGCTTTTGTAAAATGATTTGAACCATCCAGTATAGTACAACACGCTTACTACACTGCAGAGAGTTCCAGATCCACGTTTCATAACTATATATGTCATTCTCATAAATGTTTCCTAAAAGGTTCCCCACAAGGTAGTTAGAGATCAAAAAGCCAGGATTACCTGGGTTGTCACTTCAATATGGTTGTTAAATAATATTAAAGTTAGAGACTTACTTATATATATATATATATAAGATATTAGAGTTAGAGATTTTTTATGTACAACAACCGCCTCATTTGCCCATAGTTCACATGTATAGGTTTACTTGGGCAACACTCACACATCAAACCCCAGATCCTCGCCTATATAAATCTATGTATTCTTATATTATACAAATGAATGCAATACATTGTATTTATTCTTTTTCTCTATACTTCTAATATTGTATCAAAGCAATGTTACTAAACCTCCCTTATCTCTTCATATTTGTTTTTTTTTTTTCTTTTTTTTCATCTTTTTTCTGGCCATTGTTCATCATTTGTTTTGGAACTTATGTTCATCCTTCTTAATGTTGAAAAAATCATCCTAAAAGGACCTGTCATGTGCCCCCACGCACCATTAGAAGTTTTAATCTTCATACTGCCGTTGCTACGCCCCACTAGCTCCTTTCACGCGCCACCACGTGCCTTTGCGTGTTGCCACATGCTCTCTTTTTAGTCCTTTTGCACCATATCAGTTGCAAAAAGCCACATGTTTACCGCATCAACATACAGTCAGCAACACTACCACATTAGCTTTGTCAGGTCATCCGCCACATCAGCTGCCCGTCAGTATAAAGGTCCCACTTTTGCTGCGTCAATACTGCCACATCAGCACTCTGCCATGTCGGACATAACGTTAGCAGATCCGCCACATCATTTTACCTTCCACGTTAGTAGACACATCATCATCTGCATAGCTTTAATTACTTTGCCACTTGAGCAGTGTCAGAATATTTTTTTGAAGGCACCAATCCAGTTGAATTTTTCTTATTGATTCTGTGACTGTCTTGGTTTTTAGGCCAGTGCGTTCTAAGATAAACCTAACGTAAATCCAATGATGAATCCATAATGCGGAAGCAAAAGGTGTAACAATGGTCTCTAAGAATACTACACATTTATAAAACACCAATGTCATCCTCAATGAGGTCACGAAACCCAATGAAAATGAATGCGGAAACGACGTCTCAAAAACGGACAAGAATGAACCCAGGGGCAAAATGGCCATCTTTGAAAATATAGATTCAGATACTATTGAGCACACCACTAGAGAGACAATAAAAAAACCAATCAATATGGACTTAAGAATCGCATGATTCAGAATCCGGACGAAGGAGAAACGGACATACAAAGCAAAAAGGATAAACTGATAATTATTCAGGAAGGTTCAAGTGCAACCGAGCACACCGTTGGAAAGACAGCAAAAAAATAGTCAAGTTAAAAAAAAAAATTCACTCGATTTGGAGTTCGGACGAGGGAAAAAGGTCAAAAACAAGAAAAGGGTCATGACAACTACAGTGCTGCCGACCCACTGCTGCTGCAACTGAGAGTAAAAACGGGCATCTAAACGGACTTTTTTGGAAAAACTCAAAGAAGAAACCCCCTTCGAAATCGAGTTTTCTACCCGGATTTGCAAACGAAACAAAAAAAAATGCATTACAAAATGCCTAGAATGCCCCCAAGAAAATCAGGTCAAGAGGGTGAAAATCAGTCCTAGCTACTGCCCAAGAAAAGGAAATGGGGCTTCGAGAGGTTTTTAAATTGCCTAAATTGAAGATACAATCTTAAAATACACCCACAAGACCCTTGGAAGTTTCGGATCGGTCATCACACTTTTCAAAAATAAGTCGATGAATAGTACCAAGTACACTTGTATTAAAAATCAAAAAAAACCTGGCAGCAAAAATTTTTCGGGAAAAAATTGGTTTTTAAGGGCCAAGATGATGTTTTCTGGAAAAACACAAAAAAGAAACCCCCTCCGAAATCAAGTTTTTTATCCGACAAAGCAGGCGAAAATGAAAAAAAATACATTATGAAATATCCGAAATGCCCCTAGAACATAATAGGGTAAAAACTAAAAAAAATGCAACCTTAAGTTTTTGTTTCATCAAGAAGAGTATTGTTTGCCAAAGTGAACATGTAAGTATATGTAATATTATAAGGTAGACGTACTACAATGTCCTACGGCCTCATGGCATGTTGAATGTAAAATATGACCCTTCAATGCATGAAATCTCCTAACTTCCATAAGCAACAATGAAGTTAAAAATTTGCATACATATCACCTAAGTGTCTTTGGCCCTTGGCCTCATTACATATAAGTCAAATACATTGCATAGAGTGTACTTATGTGCACATTACATAAATA